TGGTTTGTTTTTTTTTAAAAACAACAACAAAAACCCCACCAAAAAACTTGCAGAGGGAAAGGGTTAAAGCCATCTGCCTGAAAGCATTGTGTAAAACATACACACAGTGTTGGGGAAATAAGCCAATTACGTGTGCTTCACAGGAGGTGGGGGACTGACCTTTGTGTATAATTAGTTCTTTTATTTAAAGCAAAGATTTTGAATAGAATAACTAATTAGCTGTCATAAATGGCAAATTGAAGATTTTGGCCAGATTCCTTGGGGAGTGTGGGAGGACGTCCCTCCTCCCACCCCGTACTGTACGCTCTGGCTCTCCTCATTAGGGCTGTTTTTAGTTCTCTGCAGCGGTAATGAGGAGTGCAGTGGCGGCACTTCTCGGAGCCCCTCTAACAAGGCATGAAATGCAGGTGGAGGAGAACCGCCTTCAGCTCCCGACGCTTTCCCTCGGCACATGTGGGTGTCGCGGAGGGCTCGGCTGGGAGCGGGGGAGGCTGAGAGGGGCTGCGCGAAGTTGGAGGGGGGTCTGAAAAGTCCCAGTGGTATCACCTGCGTTTTGTGCTCTGGACTTGACTGTATAAAATACAGGCAAGCTGCAAAGCCTCGAGGCATATATCATTAGCTAGCAGTCCCGCATTACTCTTTCAGACCAATTAACCTTTAGAGTTGCATTAAAGAAATTAGGTGGTGAACTTCTATGCTTTCAGAGGGGACCAGTAGGTCTCTTGCAGACCAGAGCACTGCAGAGCCGTACGCCGTAGGACCATTGCAGATAACTGTTACTTAAAAGGTCTACCATTTATAAAAAGTTCCCAGGCTCTCTTGGAAACGAGGCTTTATGAACAGTGCCCTTAGAGGAACTGCAGCTGATTGCTGTGTGAATAGAAATATCAGTAAAATGGCTTAGAAAAATTTAGAGGTGTACTTAGTGGACACTTGTGTTATAAAGCCAGCTGAATAATTTTACAGAAAGACCCCGACTGAGAAGATACAGGCTGATTAAAGCTAGTTTGTCCGACTGTGAACAGAGGTAAAGTTTAGATTACTCACTACAATAACAGCCTCTTTTGACACAGCCATAAATTTCAGTATGTCCAGAGGTGGTGTCTATAATTTTTTAATGTGCATTGGAGCTCCGAGCACTCAGAACAGGCTTTGTTTTGTATTTACCAGCAGCAAGTCTATTAAGTTGTAAAGGGCAAAGAAGGGAGTGTAGGTAGCCAAAATTAGAAAGGCTTCATGTACTGTTTCTAAGAAAAGATAGCAATGGATGGCTAGCAACAGGAGAGGAGAGAGTAACTTGATGATACTTGCAGAATTTGGTAATCAATCAGCATTCGCTTTGTGATCAACTGTTTATACGGGTGAGTGTCCAGCTGTTAATTTTTCTATTCCTGTGACACTACTTCTCATTTTCTAATCCTCACCCACAGAGCACACATGGAATTTGTCGAAGGTGAGCCCTTTGTTTCTTGACAGCCCCGGTTAGACACCACATGCCCCTGGTCAAATTGAACTAGGTATCTTGGCATTTCTTGGTAAGTACTGGGGAAAAATCTACATAGAGAAATGAAGCAGCATCGCCGTCTTGCAGCGGGGAAATTTCCAAAAAAGAAAGCGCAGCTCCCCAGGTGCTTGGGGTTTGCTGGAAGGGAGGCAGGAGGAGGAAAGTGGGGTTTGGTGTTGGCTGTGTCCTCTCTCTCTGCAAGCCTGCGACCGTGAAAGGGGTTAAGCTTCTGAGATGCTGCTCTCTTGTTGCTTGGAAATGACATGGCAAGCATTCGAGGAACCCTTGCTGATCAAGTTTGGCAGTTTTTGAAATTTTGTTTCACGCCTTGCCTGCTGTGTCAACTCACCAGCTAATTGCAGCTGCAACTTTCTGTAGTGGCGTGCGTGCTCCGTGCAGACTGGTTGGTTGGGATGTCGGAGGGAAGCCTCACAGACCAAAATGTAATTTCAAAACACTGAACCTGACCAGCAGAGGCTGACCTTGCTCGTTATTATCTGAGTGGGAATAGCAGCTTTGAACATCATATGATCTCTGAAACGGTACCTTTTTTCATTAGAAAGCCCCCTGCTGAACACTGACCAAATACATAGCTTTTTTTCCTTGCTTAAGGTACTGTTTAAAAATATATATATCTGTTCCTTTGCTAGTTATTAGAAGAAAATCAAAGTGTTTCATTCCCCTTATTCGCAGAAACCTCTCATAAGACAATAGTGTGCTTGCAATAGCGGGGAACTGAGATGGCCGCGGTGAGCGAGGGCTGCCAGGGCCACAGATGGAACAAGAACCGCCACTACAGCCAGCCCACAGCTCTCCGGGCCTGCTTGCCACCGCAGGAGACCCTCCTAACCTGCCAAACTGCCCTTACTGAGCAAACCAGCCCCTCCTAATGGTCCAGCCAGGGTTTCATCCCTGTGCAGCTGCCCTTGCACTTGACCGTGCTGCTGTTGGAGTGGACCCCTCGCTCTGGGTGAGGGCAGCTGGAACTCTGAAAGGGCACGGGTTTCAAAAGCGCTCGAGGGCCTTGGGAGGTCCCATCTGGCTGAAGATCTTGTACTTCTGAATTGCAGAGATGATCTCAAACCCCACCCATGCAGCAGTTTTCTTGCGAGGGGCTTTAAGAGGCTCTGGTTATCTAGAATCTGCATTTTGAAATCTGCAGCAGCTCCAGATGCAGGATCCTCAAGTTACCTAGATGAACCTTGCAAAAGAATGGTATGATGACCCCCCTTGTAAGAAATCCTCTTCTGCCTCCAAGGGTACGCAGCTCACATTTAGAGAGCATGTTCGGAGGGTGGTGATGACTCACTGGTGTCTAAGGCTCCTATCTTAAAATATAATTTGCACATCTAGGTCTTAGTTTTCATAGGTGCGAACTATTTTCTTTCATCACCGGTACTGATCTTACACAGTTTGCAAATGAAAATTCGTGTATGCACCCTTCTCTGCCTCAGAGTAAGGCAGTCTCTTCTCACGATATAGTGTTTTCCTGGCATGGAGTCAGAGAGAGCATGGGATGAAGGCTTTAAGTTTTCTGAAAAAGAAATTACTTGAAAAGTGAAGCTTCTCTTTGCTCTGAAATGCACTCTGGGGAAAAAAAAAAAAGTGCTGTGTCCAGAACCACAGGGCCACTTCCCTCGTTCTTGTAAGAAACTCTCACCAGGAGCACAGGACTTCTGCCGTCTGCCCTCCAGCACCCGCAGTATACTGCGCTTCTGACACTTCCCTGTCTTTTCCCACTTTCCAAACGTGCGGGTGTTTCTCTGTGGCTGTGTATGCAGAATTTCTCTCGGGAGCGTTAAGGGTTGCATATGTGGCAGCCAAACACAGATTTAAGTTTTCACTTAATTATTGCATATTTGTCACTGGCGTCAAAAGGTTAGTTGTATCGACTTTGCAAGCGGGTTTCGAGTGTGCCGTGGCAAAGAGCAGGAGGGCTCTTTAAGCCTTAAAGAGTTTTTGAATGTTACTTGACCTGTCTCCGTGCTGCTGAGACCACTTTGATAACAAATGGATCAATACCTCGCTGTTTGTGTAGAGGTGTCTTAAGTGCTATTGTCATCTGCTTGCAGCTCTGACAAAGCAATTATTACTGTAGGAGTGGTGGGTTTTACGTGTGCTGACCATTAGCCACTGTCAGGTGACACTGGCTTTTAAGGAAAGCAGCAAATGTCACTTATTACAGTGGCACTGACTCGGTCCTCTCCAGCTAAGGGACTGTTAATAATTCCATTATCAAGCTGCTACTTTCTGGGACATCAGCGCTTCTCACAGAAATGGTGGCTTAACTTTATGTAAGAGTATATAACCAGTGACACCTGCTACTGTAGCCAGAGTGTCCCCTCTCATCTTCTCTGCATTGGTTAAGCCCACGGCATGCTCGTTACAGGGCCAGCATTGTCATTTTTAGTGATTGACACTAGTAAAAATAAAAATCAGTAAGAAAGTAAAATCAAGACTCTAGAGAAAATGGGATTCTGGCGTCTCAGTGAGTTCGTTTCTTCTTTCATCATCTCCTGTCCTCTTCCTCCCCCACAGCACAGTCCTTGTTTATTTTTCCACCTTGCCTGTGGATTTCATAAAATCCTCTCCTGTCTCCCTCTTAAACTGAGAAGGGCGACAGGTCTCACACCCATGTCAGTGCTCACCGTGGAGGCACCAGCTGCGCGGAGGAGAGGAAAAAGCTGGAGACAGCAATGTGAGGAAGGTGGCCACGGCAAGTCTCCACCAGCCTAGTGACTTGTATCACCACCTCACACCCAGCTAGCTCATGCTTGCTTTGCAGTCCCAGCAGGGATTTCCAGGGAGGAAAAAACCTCCTGGCTTTTTACTACCTTCTTCAGCGGTCCAAGAGGAAAAGGAAAGCTCTCCTTTGCTTAAGGAGGGTGGCTCCACTAGTGGTAGAGGGCCACTGGTTGGGTTATTCTCAGCAGTCCGCAAGGGCTTTTGAATAACATTTCTAGCTTTCACTGAGGCCTCTGTGACCAGCGGGGTTCGCAAAAGAGGAAGAGCAGTGGTATACCACATCTTTTTATACCCACTCCTCTCCTTTCCCCATCAAGCTTGATCCAGCCAAGATGTTGGACTGGGGGTACGTAGAGTGATGACCCTTCTGATCTTTGTAATTGCCTGTGGCAGGTAATTAACAACACAAGGGTACTGGTAATGAGGGGAAAAAAACAAATGTTGAAATTGCAGCCAGTTTATTCTGCTGCAAGATGTTAATTAAAAAAAGTCTGGTGCTTTGTATCAGCCCTACCCTTAGGAAAAAGGGCTGTGTTCCTGCAAGTGTCGCACTCCCACTTAACCCGCGACAGCAAATGAAGTTTAAATTCCTTTGACTATCAGCTCCTTGCAATGTGAACTCCTTGTAATGAAACCAGCGGCAGTATTTGCCCCCAGATATACCTATAGCTCACAGTGCTACCCCAAATGCAGGCAATCTATTCAAGCTGTTTGGATATCTTCTAAACGAAACGCTTTGTTTGCGTTGCAGGTGTGCCGATGTTATCCGTACAACCCAAAGGGAAGCAGAAGGGCTGTGCTGGCTGCAACCGCAAGATCAAGGACCGGTACCTGCTGAAGGCTCTGGATAAGTATTGGCATGAAGACTGTCTAAAGTGTGCCTGCTGTGACTGTCGTCTCGGAGAGGTTGGATCAACTCTTTACACAAAAGCGAATCTCATTCTTTGCCGCAGAGATTACCTGAGGTAAATAGAGGAACATAGTGTGGGCTCTTCCCAAAGCCTCTCAGTGCGCTGCCAGCTGTTTGTCTTTCTAAACCTCTACTATGAAAACATGTACTTGTGCATGGTCAGCCCTGCCCAGGAGAGGTTGGAGTTTCTTCCTCTGTCTAAGCATGGCTTTTTATTTGCACTTAACATATTTTGTAGTCAGGGAGATGGAATCCTATTTTTAGGTCAAGGCAGAAGGAGGAGGGCATGACTTAACTATTATTATGAACCAACAAGAACAAACAGTGCTGGCTGAGAAAATTAGGAAAAGGCCGTTAATTCTTCTCACCTATCTTTGATGTTATAGTCCTGCATATTGACTGAGTCCTGACCAAACCTTTACTTTTTCTTTTTTAGTGATAGCTTTTACATGGACTTGTAGTGCTTATATTGAGTAAGGTTCCTCCCAAGGGGCTCTCATCTCTTCCCTAAGCAAACAGCAAAACACTCCAAAATTACAGATCAACTTCAAAAAATTTTTCCTCATGAGGAAGTCTGCAGAGACCATCACTAACTCCGAGTTAGAACTACCCTGTCAGTGTGTGTCTGCAACACATAACACATGGGACTTTTTGCCTGGTGTGTATGGGGGTTTTGTACAAAATACTTTATATAAACACAAATGAATTTTAATAAGATAGCAGGCCTAATGCAAACATTCTTATGAGGGTCACACTGCAAAACACTTTGAGTTTTGCTTTGTTTTTCCTTTGGAAGAACATACTTGATCTCCTGCTAATGTGTGTGTGTTCTTTTTTTTTTTTCCTAAAGCACTAATAGCATTTCTTATGCAACCTCAACCAGCGAACACATCTGAAGCAAAACAAAAACAACACGCCGGTTTAAGACAGGGAGGTAAAATGCTGTCTAACCTTGTGGTGTCCAGAGGCTGGCTAGATTAGTCTCAATGATCAGATGCTTCATGTGTTTCAAAGTAAAACATATTCCAAAAAATCTTTAGTAAATATTTTCTTAGTAAACTTGAACAAACAAGTTTCTCCTTCTAAAGATGAGAGATTAAGCACTGAGCCAAATAGAAGACATAAGTCTATTAGCTGCCATACGGGAGCTGCCACCTTGCCTTTCAGGCAGGCAGTGTACAAGAGCATCCTGCCCACATGAGGATTTTTGCTCGTGTTTGAGCTGAAACTCTCCAGGGCACACATGAAATGTCCCAGCAGAAATTCTGCCACACAGGCAGCAGTTGCAGGTCCACACTGACTTAGGTGGGATGTGTCCCCAAAACGTAAGTGAGCGGGAGCTTGGGTAAGGGTGGAACACATCTGAAGGGCAAAAGACAGGATAAGCAGCCTGTGGAAAAGGTGTGGCGAGGAAAGAGTTAACTATCTTCAATGTCATGAAGCAATTTTTTTACCTTACTTAAATCTGAGTATTTACTAATGCCAAAAGTCACTTGCTCTGGAAGTATCCTTAACCCTGTCTGTGCTAAGCTGAAAAAGCTGAGCTCCAGAAGGTTCTTTAACACAGATTTTTAACCCCAAATTAGCATTTTGGTTCTTCACTGACCCTCCTTCAGTTCAGCTGTACTCTTTCTGTGTGTGGACATAATTCTGATGTGTCGATGAAGAATATAACAGCTCTTGATCTTCACTTGTTGAGGATTCCGTACTTTCTTTTCATCATAGTATCACAATTGGGTCATGTGAGGTACTAATCACAAGGACCCCCAAAACCTCTCAGGAGAGCTTCTTCCAGGAATAGTCTTCCTTCCAGAAAGCATAGGGTGCATTAGTTTCTGGAATGTTTCTTTATACTTTACGTTGTTTATACTTTATCTTTTCTTTATCTTGTTTGCACCCAGCTTGCAAAGCGACCCAGGTCTCTCCATCAGTCATCCTCCTCTCCATTATTTATCACTTCTCTAGACTTTGTCATTTGTGCACTTGATAAACAGTGTGTGGGGGGGTGGTGTTTGTTTTTTAAATCTGACCTGAAAAATAGATATTCAGCATTACAGAACCCTACTAGAAATACTCAGCTGGGCGGTGATTCCCATTTACATTTGCTTTTTGAGACTTATGAGCTACCCCATGTTTTGTCCATTTAATGAGCACCGTATTGATTTTGGTTTGTTCTAGTTTCATAACAAAAATAATGTGTGGCATCAAATCAGGCACGTTAAAGTGCCGAAGGAGAGCAGTATTGATGCTGTTAAACTTAGAAGATCCTTTTTATCATTGCAGTTGTAGAGCATTTCTTTCTTTCTTTCTTTCCTTGGTTTATCCTGAGAATGCTGCTTTGAGGTGGAAAAGCTTAACCTGTGATCTTCTCGCTGGTCCCCAGATCGCACAACTTTCTGGGGCACACCAGAAGCCTGTGCTAGAGGTGGGAAAGAAGCCGGGAGTTGCAGACCCCAGGAAATGGTCCACGTCCCATCTTTGAGAAGAGACGGCAATTCATGACATGAAACACGGAAGGCAAGAGTTGGGGCTAGTGTTTGACCATGTCGGACAGCTTCTGTCACAGCAGCAGTTAAGCGTGGTCTCTGAAACCAACTTGTTCTGTGCCTGAAAGGGGTCTCGTAGCCCCTGAGCCTCCATTTGTCGAGTTAGAATAATCCCCGGCCCACCAAGGGGGGAGTCTGCTGCTCTTGGTGCAGCATGGTTAAATTGTGGAGGGAAGGCTTAGGTGGCCTTTCCTTTAAATGTTTTTCCCCTATCTGAATTTAGTCCATTATAGCAGCTTTGACCACTAGAAATATTTCTTAATTGTTTTTTTGTTGGGAAGAACAATATAATTGTCATATCTCAGGAAATCTGACCAAGACTCAAGTAGGAAGGAATAATATTAATTCTGTAACACAGTTGTTAACTAGCGTTCAGCTGTTTAGCCAGCTTTGCAGCTATGATGTTTTGTGTTCTCCCTAATAAGTAAATTTAGGTTTATACTGGTTTTGGGGGGGTTCTGCCGAACTTCTGAGTTCTGTTCTCCTGATGCTAAGGAACCCTTTCAGGGTCCTAGAATAGGAATAAGTGCACTGCTATGCAGTCCCATATTTTATGGAAGTACAAAGCAATTGTTTTACTTTAAAACATCTTCTGTTGCCTTCTACACGTAATATTTCTTTCTCTCTCAATTTTAACTATTAGTTCTATTAATAGAAGGAACTAAAGTTGCCATCACCATCTTCTCTACTGTCTGTTCACTCCTGGTAATTTGAATTTTTCTTCGTGGAGAATTACCCATTCCCATCATTATATGATTCCTTCACTGTAATAGTTTTATAGCCTCTATCCACATCTTTTTTTTCCCCTCGTTAAACAACTCACGGTATTTGTTCTACTAGTCAAATTTTAGCAGAATTCATTCCTGAAAATAAGTTTTCATACTTCAGACTGTACATGCACCATAAAGGGAGTACTTCATCTGGAGGACAGTCGAAGGCATTTATTGTCGGCCACTTCCTCCACATGCCTTTGAAGAAGAACAGGGTGGACATTGCATTGATATTTAGTAGGTCGACCATCATGTGAAAAATTAAAAGGTAGTCTGATTCTGCGCCCATAAATGTAAATATATGCATCTTTTCTATCTGAAGTCCAAAAGGAATATTGCTGCGTAATGACCAGGAGAAAAAAACGTGGCGTTTCCTAACCTGTTTATAGACCAATGTTTCTTTGAATTTGCTTGTGAGCTGATTGTGTTGTTTAGGAATACATGCTTCGTTACCTGGTGAGATGTGCTTTCCCCTCCCCTCGCTCAGTCTCCACCTACGAGCCCGCAGCGTGCCCGCTCCTGCCCGTGGGGGCTGCAGAGACCCAGCCGCTACCACCCGGCACCAGGCTCCCGCTTGCCTCGTGGCCGCAACGTATAGGTGCTGACCTATAGAGAGAAAGGGCTCCTGGAATATTCGGGGCAGCTTAGAAATTCAGCTGAAGCGGTCGTTGATTTGCAGGTCTGGAACCCTGCTCATGCCACCCCTCCTGCGGGCAGGGGTCGCTGGGCCGCGGCCACCGCAGGGATGGGGGGCCGCGATGGGCTTCTGGGCTCCTGCCCCCGGCGTGGGGCAGAGCGCCGGGGCAGGAGCG